AAAAAAAAAAAAATTCAGGCCATTTTTGTCCAAGAAATCACAAACATCTAAGGGAGCTCATTACAATTCTCTGACCTTGTTGGTCCAGACTCATCACTGAAGTCCGGAGGTTGACCTTTGGACTGGTCACTGGCCACAGACGGACAGCTGGATCTTGCAGACTCTACTCTGTCCTCCTCTTCCTCCATCATCATCTGCTTGAGGACTTCAGTCAGTCTGAGAGGTAAACCACAAACAGTTCACATTAACAGAAGTAACTGAGTTACAGTCGCTGACCTCTGACCTGTCATGTAATCTAGAAACCAGGTCACATGATTCATACCAGAGATACCTGAACTAACCTGCTGAAATGTAAGACTTTCCAACAACAAAACACAAAAACAAGAAATGGACTGAATATTAGGCACAGCTCTGAGTGTTATGCACGCAGTTCACTGCCATCGCCGACCTCCGTATGAAACCATATTAAAGCTCTTTTATGGCCACTCAGACACTTTAGGATCACATGATGTTGACACATTATATATGTGACTGTCATAGTTTAACATGTGAACTTCGTGCATGTAACATTCATGTTGAATCAGATCTCAGCTCCACATCAGCTTTGCTGAATAATCTAAAGTTTCTTTGACATCACGAATTAGACGCTGTCATGAACACACCTCCATGATTCAGTTTTCTCTGATACACTGAACTAAGTCTTAATAATGATGATGAGCTCCTGCAGGCTGTGGCTTTATTCCTGGAGATGCATGAATCACATGTTTAATCCACATTTGGACTGTTTTGTCCCCTCAGTTTGAACTGGAGTCATTTAAATATGAGTGAAACTAAAGCATCAGCTGACAGCTGTAATCAGCACAAATCACCTGTCAGAGCTCACAGTATTTGACTCTGAAAGTCATTCACAGTCTGCAGCTCAAACTCTTCTTTGCTGAATTGGAGAACATTGTTTCTGTAAGTTTACAGAAAAGTTCACCTGCACTGATGTTCACATGAAGTGGATCCACAGTCAAACGTCTCAGCGTAGAAACACTCAGACCTGATCATTGTTTCCATGCTGTCCTTTATCTTAGAAACGCTCCAGTGTGCAGCAGTTTGTGCTGTAGCTGTGAGTGTGGACGCAGTCTAAAACTGTCATTCTATCCATCAGGTGGTGATGCTGTGGTTGTATAAAGACTTCTGGTCCTTTACAAGTTTACAGGAAACACTTTGTTGCTGAGCTGATGGTCTGAGTCACTCATTTTGTCAAAGTGAATAAAAACTCTTTAGAAAATTATGAGTTGTGTAAAAAGATGATTAGCTGGGGTATTTTGTGTGTCCTCATTGGCTAATGATTTATTGACCAATCATTAGCCAATGAGGACACACAAAATACCCCAGCTAATCATCAGCAAAAGGTTTCGCGGTCACACATCATCACATCTGGTTTCTTCTAACAAAGATTGTAAGAGTTATCACTTATCTCTTGAGTTAACACATATCTCAAGGCCTGAACCCTGAGGTCTAGATTTGTTCTTATCCAGCTAACTTCAAATTAATCTGGGTTTTCTGTGCTATGAAGGTTTGTCACTTATTCATCCTGGTAAGATGTGGGACCTCTGTGGAGAGAGAAAGTGTGTCTAAAGTCTCTTTGTTAGCTGATGAACATCAATAATCTCTAGTAGCTTGTTGGTTGGCTTGGACTGATAACAGCACTTTCTTTGTTTTTTAACCCTTTAAGACCTACCACAGAACCAAGTCTGCTAAGCTTATCTTTATAATTTTACATGCTGTAGTGCCATTTTTGGGAGCATTTCAAGTTGCTATAAATTAATAAAACCGTTATAGCCCAAATTTTAATGTTATGTATGTATTAAGAAGTAAGTGAGGTTTCTAGTTAGTTTGAGGTTTATCCCTCAAAACTGTAAATACAAAAAACATGGACAAAATAGTTTCCAACAACAGGAAATTTATTTTGAGTGTCTTCATAGTTTTGTTTTTGAGATACACCAATTTTTATATACTACAGGAAAAATGAAAATAAATATTATAGTGCTAATTTGCCAAAAAAAACAGCATGTGTGTCAAAATAAAGTATTTCCAGCAGTGCAATTTGAGTTCTAAGCATCCCACAAATGATACAGAAAAGCATAAAGTCAGACAGGATTTTTAAAAACACCAATAAAGGCTTATAAGGCCCTGAAGGTAAAAAAAAAACCAAAAACGAAACAAAAACAAACCTAGGACAGGCTGATGGCATAAAATGTATGCAAAAAAAACCCCCGTTGCTCTAGCTTACTTGCTTCCAGCTTGCGGGGCCCCGCAAGGGACATGGGAGGAAAAAAATTAAGTTGAACTTTTGCGAGATCTTGCAAAAAAGACTGCATTCATCACAGGTCGCATTTGAAGGCCGAGTTGCTGTATCCTTTGTGACCCAACCTATCCAGAATTCATAGCACGGCGCAGCCATTGTTTTGCCAACAATGGTGGCAGCCACTTACTTTTAATATTATTCTTTCTGGGTCACAAAATAAACTTTTATGATATTTTCAGGCGTGAATGTAGCTGTGTAAACTTCAAATATCTGCTCAGTTTATCAAGACATCACATATTTGCTCAGACATTTTCGAAGATGTCTGTTACCCACCAGCTCGAAGCTAACGGGAGGTCGAGGCCCACTACAGCCAGGGGGAACGCTACACTCCCGGCACATTGTGCCTCAACCTCCCGGTCGGCTTGGAGCTGGTGGCCTCCGAACATTTGCGAGATTTCTGTAGCAGTTCTACAGGGATTTAAAAAGCCGAGCGAACCCTGCATTTTAAAGAGCTAAAAGGATGTCCTCTGTTATCAGCAGGGGGAGCAACCATAATGGAAGCTCATTTATTCCCTGCCTGCATTCATGGATTTTAAATGTATTCAGATTTTTCTATGATTATGCTCACATCACAGTGCTGAATGGGTGACGTGTTTAGCACCATCACCTCACTGTGAAAAGGTCCTGGGTTTGAGTCCACTGGCTGGCCGGGTGCCTTTCAGTGGAGTTTGCATGAGGTTAGGTTGACTACAACAAACTTTAACTGCTGGGATAAACTCAGTTCTATGCACAAACAGCCAGAAATAGACTTGGTTTAAGTAGCTGCCAGGCCAGAGAGGAGGGGTGAGCTCCTGCCGCAGAGAGCCAGCTGCAGAGCAGGAGCCGTGAGCACTGCAAAGTGCTGAAGTGCAGAGGCCACAGTGAAAAGCGACAAAACACTGTGAATTTAAAAAAGCCAAACATGAACATCTATGTGAGGTCCTTTGGGTTACAGTGTCAAATGTGTGAAAATTAAGCTTCAAAAGTTTCTACTCATCCTACGACACGCAGCACAACATGACTGATGGAAGAAAACATGAGCACAGACATCCAACAACATCCAGCAGTTAAATTAAATTAAATTAGTTGTAATGGGGGAATTCTAGTTAACCCTCAAACTTAGATTTAGATGGATAAAACTTCACTGTATGATTTTTGTATAACCTTTGTATGCTTAGATGAAGTATGTGTATATGTCAGGATAATCTGGTGGAAAAAAACTGCTTAGTTTTGCTTAACAATGTTTCACTATGGCATGTGCTAAATGTTGACCAGTGCCTGAAGCTTCCTGAGACAGTGGGAGTCTCTGCCCAGCAACAGCCTGTGGGACAGAAACCTGTTGCAACTAAAAGATACAGAGAGCTGATGGGTTAGAAAGCTCATTACTGTGAGCCTGGGATTTTTTTGATGTGTGTGTCCGTTCTCCTGCATGCAGTAACAAATACCAATAGAAAATTCCATGACATAGTCCAGGCTGGTTCCTGTGAATAATGATGCAGCAGTGATGTGAGTGCTGAGCTGTGACATGGAGAAGAGTCATGGACAGTTAGAGATGGTCGTCTCACCTCTGAGCTTTGGTCTGGCTCTCATGTTCCCCATTAGAGGGAGGGGCTCCCTCCTCTCTGTCCTCACACTGATCCATGCTGCTCAATTCACATCAGCTCACACACACTTTCTACCTGCAGAGGAAACACAAATCATTCATGTGCACATCAACTGAAATCCTCCTTTCCATCATCATCAGTGTCAGCTGGATGCAGTCAGGCAGCAGTGTGAGGCAGAGGAAGCTGCCATCAGCTGCTCTGCTGCTACTATCAGTCCACTAGATGGAGCCGTGAAGCCCACACGATGCATTCACTGACACGCGCTGATTATTTCTATTTCTATTTTCAGTTGATGCCACACTGGTGCTTTCTGACTGTGCAGCTTTAATTTAAACTGCAGGAGAAGTTTAGCAATTACAGCTCCCCCAACTGCCTCCCCTCCAACCAAAAACTGGAGGTTACAGAGTGAAACATGCTACGATTTTTATTGGGAGTGAACAAGAGGGACTCAGTTAGAAATGTGTATCAGAGGGACAGCTAAGTTCAAATACTTTGGACACAGTGAAAAAGACAGGCTGACATCTACACTTGATGAAAATCATGTCTGTGTACAATTTGTAGACAGACATGATTTTCCATATAATTGTTTTTTTATATAGAAATACACTAGTACTTTTTTATATCAACGGTAATATTAAAAAAAGATTTTTAAAACATTAAGTTCATCAATAATTTTATTCATTTGTAACAGATTACAAATGAATGACATACCTGAAACTGATATCTAATTATCTTTACATGTTCTCAGTTATTAACAGAAGGGTGCAAATTTAATATAATAATTTTTGGTTTGATTGATTGACGGTGATTAACAAATGCAACAACTACAACTACAACTTTTATTCACTCAGATATGCTGTGACGTTAAAATGTTAAAAATAATCTGCTATGCTGAGTTTTATTCTTGGACTACAGGACTAACTTTGCCTTTCTGTTCTCTCCTTTAACCCTGTTCATCCTCTGTTTGGAAGTCTTTTGAATTCTCGTCTAAGACCAGCCTCTCTGCTGACTTTCATTCTACAAACAGAATGTGGTGCTGTGGAGATTTAGAGAAATAAATCTACCATGAACAAAAGAAACAAAAAAGAGCAAAGAGACTGGTTTTCTTTTGGAACACAGATATATAGAAATGTTTGAAAAATCTTTAAGGCAGTGAAATAATGATCCCTATATTTATTATATGAACACAATCAGAGAAGAAAAGAAGTGGATCCTGAGCTGTTCATTAAAGTCAGCATTAGTTTTTGTCACATTCAGGTTTGTGAAAAATGGAGAGAGGATCCAAATGCAGGATTTGCAGACTGGTTTAAAGTGTACAGGGAGTTATTATGATGAATTAAACAGGAAGCACACAGAAGGTGTTGACGACGAGACGAGGAACTGGGGCAAAAAAAATCAACCATCAGCTGTCAGCAGAGCAATGTTTAACTGAACACTTCCTCGTGTTTCAGTGTCACACTATGTGTTTCTTGAATATTAACCAAGTTATTAACATTATATTCTGCTCAGTTCCTCCCATTTCCATTCTTCTCTTTTTCATGAATAAATCTGCGTTCTTGTTAAAAGAGTGCATGGACAGTCAGCATCAGGCTGCTTGCTGCTCCGCAGGTCCTCATATCTGCTGACCATGACAGACTCAGACCTGATATTCTGGACACGACCATCTGATCGGCTCCATAGCCGTTCTGATCTTCACAGCTGAACATTTCCATTTGTCAGACTTATTTTTCTTTTGAACAGTTAATTTGTGTTTAATTTGAAACTGATTAAACGCAAGTATCGGGGCTATGTTCACCACTTTACCCCTCACACATTCGTTATGGAGGCAGAGCTATAAGTGTGTTTGAGGCTGCGACACGTTACTCTGACCTTAACTTCGTGAATCAATAAGTATACTTCATTACAACAAACAGAATTTTACCATTTATCAGTTCAGCCACTTAACACATCTACATGTGTAACTGAGACACTATATAAATGTATGTGACACAAGATTAGAAACACTAACTTAAAAAAAGCATCAAGTGGAAATTCATTCAGACTGAAAACAGTTCAAAAATGAGAAAATTCAAAGTGTTTGAAACTCTGGGACTAATAATGATCAGAAGCTTCTAACACTAGATGAAAACTCAGACTCAAATCCAGTAATTAAGAAGCAAAAAGCACAATAGGCAAGTGACATCAAGACAAACACACGGGAATGCTGAAGAGTCCAAATAAAGTCATGCCTCCATATGCAGATATACTTAACAAGCACAGGATTTAAAACAGGCTGAAAATGAGGTCTGTGAAAACCTTTATTTTTTCCTAAACAGCTTTTTTTGCAGTAACTGAGCTGGGGCTGCCTCACCTCGTGCTGTTTTTCACATCACTTTAGTAAAACCTGAATGTCGACTTCCTCAAAACAGGTTTTATTTTCTTTTTTACAGTTTAAAGGGAAGAGCAATGTTCCACCAGTGATGATCAGTATCTGATGGCTCTAAAGTTTTATACAGATTGATTTAAACCGTTTATCTCGGGAACACATGTTTCAGTGCAGAGTTACTAACTGTTAACCAGTGTGGAATCAATAGGTTCAAGATATATAGCTATACAAGTAAAAACACAGGGAAATGTAACCTGACACGCTCCTCGACTTGTGCAAAAAAAGGCGGGGG